TTGAAATAAATTTGACAACTTCTAAGAAGTAACTTAGAAGACAAATTAATGAAACTAACTCTGGAGGAAATATAAAATTATTTTTAAATTAAGAAATAAGAGCTAATAATTTATTCATGGTATAAATAGTTAAAATAAGATCATTATGTGTGTATCATTATGTATTATGCAAGATGTATTAGCCTTAAGTATTACAATGGACTGCAATGGCTGGCAAGCTAGCTGATACTTGATCACTGGATCACTCTGGATAACTTAATTAGCCAAATACCAAAACTAACAAGTTCAAATCTTAACCCCTATGTAATAGTAGGAGTAGGGTCTTTGGGAGGTAATTAGGTTATGAGTGGAACCATGTGAGGGTATAATAGGATGAATGTCCCTTAAAACAGGGATCCAGAGAGTTCTCTTACCCTTTTTTTCCACTCCACGAGGATAAAATGAGAGGATGGCCCTCTGCTGCCAGTAAGACGGCTCACAGCAGAACCCAAAGATGCTGGCACCCTGACTTCAGACTTAAAGCCTCCAGAACTATAAGAGATAAATTTCTTTTATAAGCCACCCAGTCTATGATACTTTGTTACAGTGCCCTGAATTAAGACAACTATTCTCAAAAGTAACTGCATATATTTATGGAATCACAATACTGGTGGGCCAAAATTGTCAAAGATAAAAGAATCTTAATTAGGAGACAAATCATAATTTTTACAGACAGGGCATAAATGAAGAACAAATAGATAAAACTCAGCTCTTTTGTGCTTTATACAGCATAGGCTGGATAGGGCCATATACAAATATTTAAATGCACAACATGTAAGAGTTAAACATATTATAGGTGTTACATTCAAATGCAGAGGTTTATGAGTGCTGTCTAAACATAACAAAATACTTGGTTCATTTTTAATGAGACATATTTTAATTATATACTATGCTAAATACAAATGAAATTATAATCTATTTTTACACATTTACATAGCATCCTACGATTATATTGCTGCTCAATTTGCTTCTATAGACTTTATATGAAAATTAAAGAGATAGTTATTTATAAACTATAAACTAGATTTTGGAGGTCATGGCAACAGGGAGAAGTCAGTGTACTCTTTCTTCTAAATATCTGCATAGGTGTGATACTAATTAACTTGCTATCAAAACAGCTTTAAGAGGTTTGTTTGTTTGTTTGTTTGTTTGTTTACTAGGGATCGAACTCCAGTCCTTGTGCTTGGGAGGCAGGTGGCAGAACCACTGGACTAAATCCCTGGCCCCTTTAACAGTTATTTTTAACAGTCATTTACATCCAGAATTAATAGCCTTAAGACAAACCAAAGAAAGAGTAATTCCTGGTCTCTTACCTTTCTATGACCATGCCCCCACTGTTTCAATTATGTCATTTATTTCTCAGTAGATACTTCTATATTTCTAGTATCTATAATATTTCTGTTTCTTGAATCATTGATTCTAAGGAGACTGCTTGATTCTGAATCCCAGCATCACCTTTCCTTGGAGCCAACAGAGACTGTGGCTGAAACCTCTACAAACTGTGAGCCAAAATAAACCCCTTCTTCCTTGAGTTGTGGGTGTCAGATATTTTGTCCCAGCCACAAAGAAAACAATTAAGACCAGGTAAAACCTTTAGGAAGTAGTTTCCAGTGGAAAGACATTAGATCATTTTGGCTATGCCATTAAAGGGGATACTGTGACCCTAGTCCCTTTTCTTCTTCTCTTTGTTTCTCAGCTACCGGGAGGTAAGTAGCTTCCTACACAACATGCTCCTACCTCATCAGAGCTCAAAAGCAATGGGGCTGACCACAGATTGAAAACTCCAAAACTGTGAGCCAAAATAAACTTTTTTAAAAGGTGATTATCTCAGGTACTATTTTTTTTCTTACAGTAACAGAAAGCTGACTAACAGAAGCATTTTAAGGGAAAAAGCAAGAAAATTATAATACTTAGTAAAGTCAAACATTAATTCATTTTTATTACCTTAATCTGAAGATGCAATATTTTCATTCAGTTAATAAAATTATGTAACATGTATAAAAAGGTTCTCCAATTCTCCCTCTATATTTTAAGCTCTGTAAAGATAAAGAATATCTTATCTTGCATCACTAGTGCCTACGACCATGCCTGACTAGTAGATATAGGAATGTTCAATGTACAATGAATAAATAAATTCAGTTTAACTTAGTCTCAGACCATGTATAAAGGCTGGACAGTAAAACACCAAATAGCATTAACATAGCATTATTCTTCTCAGTATAAACAAAGCACACTATTTGGTACACTGTATTTTTTTTACTGATAGTAACACATAGTAAAATTTTAATATATATTAATCACCCATGGTCACTTATAAATATTTAAATTTTTTACACTAGTACAATTCATGCCAAAAAGTAGTACCATAAACTAAATTTGTAAAACAATTACAAAACAAAATTACATTAAACACGGTATAAATCATAATGGGAAACTGAGATGGCTTGTAACACTTTAAAAACATTCTAATTACAATCAAATATAAACCTTTACCAAGAAGTTATTTCATCTACGGAGTCCTTTTGAGGGAAGATTTAGTTTTCATATAATTAGTGGCCAGATTAGCATGCTTGATATACTCTGTTCTTCAAAAGCTCATTTAGAATCCATAAATGCAAGGAGAATGTCATATTCTTGAATACATATACATCTTTTAACAAATTTATTCAGTCTGCCTTTGACATATTCATTGAATGCAAAACTGTTGAGGATTTCAGATGCTATCTTTTCATGTCTTCGCACCTTGGATCTGATCTGATAGTGAAATCAAACAAATATAGTAAATCTCTACAGAAAAAGAATTATTTTCTAAAGTAACCCAAAGTTATCATACCAGAAAAAATGCTGACATAGATTCAGGAAAAAGAAACTCTCCACTGCTGGTGCAAATGTAGTAGACATCAGAATGGAGGTTCCTCATAAAGCTAAAAACCAAGCTATCACCTGATCTCGCTGTACCATTCCTCAGTACAGTACATTCCTGAAAGAATTAAAGTCAACCTACTATAGAGATACCTGCATATCCATATTTACTACAGCACAATTCACCATAGCTAAGTTATAAAACAGCACAGGGGCCCATCAACAGACAAATGGATAAAGAAGATGTGAGATATGTGTGTGTGTGTGTGTGTGTGTGTATGAATATTATTCAGTCATAAAGAAGCATGAAATTATTTCATTTTCAGGTAAATGAATGGAACCTGAAAGCACTGTGTTAAGTGAGACAAGCCAGACTCAGAAAGTAAAATAGCATTGTATTATCTCTCATCTGAGGAATCTAGGAAAAAAATTTAAAGAGATGACATGGAAGTAAAAGACTATTAGATAAAAGGTAGGTGATTAGGGGATGGGAGATCAAAGTATATGATATAGGGAGGGGGAGGAAATTGGGAGAGGGAGATGATGAAAGTATGTTATATGCATGTATGAATATGCCAAAATGAAATGCATTATTCTGTATAATACACACTGAGATAATCCAACACAAATCTATATAATCCTATGCATAGTTTTAATTTTTATTGACGTTGTAAAGAATCAACTAGTTCCATACAGCTTGTATGAAAAGTAATGGCAACTGCTTCATCTCTGCTCCTTTCAGAAGCAACTACTTCCAAATCACTTTTAAATGATTACTTATATCTCTAAATATACTTTTATATTATTTCTGTAAATATCAGTAATGTAATATGAAGCTTCAGTTTTTACACTCATGTGCTCACCTGCAATCCTCATTATACTTCTAAGATTCTCATTCTTCTAACAGTAATACAGTCATTATCAATATGACTATTTAGATGTTATTCTCAGCTGAGATAATTGGTACACTCATGTTACTTTTCTTTTCCTCTGTTACATTTTTCCCAAAGGTATTATTTGTCCCACCTATTCCTACCCAATCCATCTGCTTATTTTTTAATGTAGTTAACACTTTCACAGTTTAAACCTTCATTATTATGAAGCACATTACATAATCCATCATTTTCATCTTCTTAAAAGAACTCTCCCCTACAGTCTTATAAAACTCTCCAACCTACACCAGCTGATTTCTAAGCCTGTCATAGTTGCAACATTTCTTTTATCATTTTAGGATCTCTATTAACACCCTAGAGATTTCTTCTCCCATTCTTGTGTTGCCTTTCCTGTTTCATGGTCCCTTATTTCTCTTTTAGGTTTATTCTCTTATTTCAGAAATATAATTGTATTAGTGGCTACCTTAGTAAAATGCATAGATTAAATTCTTTTTTTTTGTATTAAATTCTTTTATTGGTACATTGTAGGTATACAACACAATTACATTTCTCATTGGGAATTGTACCTTTACATAATGCATCTTGGTTCTTATTTTTTCCCCATTCCTAGCCCTCCCTTCACGCCCTCCACCCTTCCCTATTTACAAAGACTTTATTTACATTTTTTCTATTTCTCATCATTTTTTCCTTTCCCTTCTTTCCTTTCCCCTGCCCCTCCCACTACCCCTACCCCTTTGGACCTTTTCTTCCTATTTTACATTATCGATTATTCATTCTAATCATTGGTACATTTTAGGTATACAACATAATGACATTCATCATTGGAAATTTCCACCTTTACAGTCTCTCTTGGTTCTTATTTTTCACCCTTGCCCAGCCCTCCCTTCAACCCCTCCAGTCCTCCCTATTTACAAAGATTTTGTTCCTATTTTTCCATTTTCTAGCACAAACAATCAACAAATGGGATCTCTTCTTATTAAAAAGCATCTGCACAGCAAGAGAAACCACCAGCAGTGTGAAGAGACAACCCACAATGTGGGAAAAAATCTTCACCTGGTCTTCCTCAGACAAAGATCTACTATCTCGAATCTATAAAGAACTTAAAAAGATCAGACCTCCCAAATTTAAAGACCCAATCAAAAAATGGGCATCTGAAATGAACAGACATTTCTCAGACAAAGAAGTAGAAATAGCAAATAAATACATGAAAAAATGCTCAACATCACTGGTCATTCTAGAGATGCAAATGAAAACAACACTGAGATTCCACTTCACTCCAGAAAGAATGGCTGCTATCATGAAAGCAACCAATAACAAATGCTGGCAGGGCTGTGGGGAAAGAGGAACCCTGTTCCACTGCTGGTGGGAGTGTAGACTGACGCAACCACTGTGGAAATCAGTATGGAGGTACCTCAAAGAACTAGGACTGGAAGTCCCATTTGACCCCACTATTCCACTGCTGGGGATCTTCCCCAAAGAATTAAAAGAATCATACCACAGTGATATATGTGTACCCATGTTCATAGCAGCACAGTTTGTAATAGCTAAAACTTGGAAACAGCCCAAATGCCCATCAACTGGAGACTGGATAAAGAAAATGTGGTTTTTTTAATAAAATGGAGTACTACTCAGCCATAAAAAATGAGAAATTAGAGACATTTATAGCTAAGTGGATGCATATTGAGGGAATACTCTTAAGTGAAATAAATAGGACACACATGTGTAAATACCGAATAGTTTCTCTGGTGTGAGAAACTGGAAGTGTAAATAAGGACTAAATGTATAATAGGTAATGTGAAATAGGAAGAAAAGGGGCAAAGGGGAAGGAAGTGGGAGGGCTAGGGGAAAGGATAGAAGGGAATGGGATTAATATAGATTAAATTCTTGAGACGTTCCACAGGTGAAGCTGTCTTGACTATCACAGTATATTGATAGGACTTTTCCAGGCATTGCCTGATGATATTATAGCTTCCAAGTTGTTTCTGTTGAGAAGTCTGATGTTTTTCTATTTCCTTATGCTTATATGTTTATGGAAACAAGACAGTTCCCAGCTAGAATCTGCCTTCATCTCTATGTGACTTCTAGTCCCTCCACACCCCACCCTGTTCCCCTCAGGCAGATTTTCTCAATTACCATGGCTGAGACTGTGCTTGCTGTGGTAGAGGAAAGGAAGACTTGATGAGCTGGACCCAATGGCACTGCTGAGAGTTTCTCAGGTCCCACTAGCCCAGGCTCTTCTCCGGGGAAGATGGGCACAGGGAAAGGAGGTGCCAGTACCCAGTAAGGTTTGATGTTGAGGTATTGCCTGGATGTTAATGACTTATTACAGCCAGGTGAGAGCCTGCAGTGCCTGTCCAGTGCCTGAACATGGGCCAGCGGTCCCAACTTCACTGTGCACAAGCAGACAGAGCCCTCTGGAGGATGACACAGACTTGGCCTGACCTGTCTCCATGTGGAACTGCCCTAGCCTCATGAAGCCACTATGGTGGGCAGCCTGAGGGAGCAGAGGCCAGGGCAGCCCAATGATCCAAAGGGCAGTGGGCAGACAGATCTTGCTGGTCTCATGTAGCTGGCTGGTTTCTTAGATGAGCTGGCTTGTGGAGTCTTCTATTGTTTTCAGTGTTGGATTTTACTAATGAAGCACCGTGATGTGGGAATACTTTTATCCACTGCATTGAGCTCTCAAGAGGCCTTTCAATTGAAAGCTCATCATTTAGTTCTGGTAATCATTATTTGATCATTTGTTACTCTCATTTTTTTTTTCTGTTCTCTCTGAAATTCTTATTTGGATATTGGGCCTTATGATTCCATAGTTTCTTTTCTTTATATTTTTCTATTCTTTGTCTTCTTGTCCTACTTCTGATAAACTGCCTCTATCTAATTTTTTATTGAGTTTTTCATTTTTACTATTCTATTCTTATATACCAACAACTCATTTTTGGTTTGTTCCTTTGCAAGTTGTATCCTGGTCTTATTCATGAAAATAATATTTTTTTACCTTTTTGAGGATACTCTCTCTAGTGAAGTTTTTGAGATGTTTCCGCTACATGAATTCTACTTCCTTTTTTTATTGTTTGGTTACATTTTCAAATGTCTGGTCATCTTTTGCCATTTGCTCATACATATGAGTGAACACTAAGAAGGCAGATTGGAATCTGGAAATGTATGTGAGGCTTGTCAAATGTGTTCTTCATTTTAATGTGTCTAGTTAAGCGAATTCTTTCATAATCCCCAATACCTTTATTTTTTTCTGTTTGGCTAGTCTAATTCCTCACAGGTGATTCTATTTTCTGCCTCCCTCCACTGTTTTCTGGGAGAAATACAATAAAAGAGAATTGCAATATTCCACATGAAAATTTTCAGTCACTCCACATTTTCAATTTAGCAGTAATACACACAGGTGTGCATGCTTTTTCCTAGTCAAAAGGCATTCTATTTGCATTTTTTGCAGAGAATAAAACTTTGAACTTTTGGCAAAAGTATGTATAAAACTGTCTTTTCAGCTCCACCTTCACCCTTATTTTCACTTTCTACCAGTTTCTGAGCCTTTGAGAGAATGTGCAACATAAATTAGGCTACATTCCAGTTTTCTCCTGCTGGCATAGAATTCATCTTTCTGAACTCTGTTAAATCATTCAATATCCATCATATAACCCAGCTTCCAAAATTTGGCTACCATTTTCACCACTTTCAATCCTTTTACCCAGGTACATTAATATCTTTTTAAAAAAGTCTTTTTACTATTAGTGTGACTTTGGAAGGGAGGAAACTAGGTATATATGTTCAATTGTCTACCTTTCATTGGAATATTCATTTGCACAGTTTATAACAGTCTAATATTAAAATGTGGAAGTGGACTGAGAGGATAGCTTGGTGGGAGAGCACATGCCTACAAGCATGTGTGAGGCCTTGGGGTTGACTCTTAGCACAACAAAAACAAAGAAAAATGAAACAACAAATACAATTAAAAATCTGGAAGCACTATTAATTTTTTCCACCCATATAAAATGGTAAGATTAATGTTTCACTAGTTATTTGTGAAGATTTCTTTTTTTCTTTTTTGGAACCGGGGATTGAACTCGGGTCCTTGTGCTTGCGCAGCAGGCGGCGAAACCACTGAGCTAAATCCCTGGCCCAATGTGAAGATTTCTTTTTACAAAAGCTCATCTGAAAGTTTCAGAGCTATAAAAACTTACTGCTCTGTAACAGTTTCTATATATTTTTGTGGTTTTTTTTAAAAAAACTTCAGTCTACTCAAGGGTTCTTGTCTTTGTGTATTTACACACATACAATTATTGAGAATCTTTCCAAAAGAAAATAGAATCATAGCATTGAATGTGTCATTAAATATCTCACAAATAAGTTTCTAATCTTTTTTTTTTGGTACCGGGGATTGAACTCGGGTCCTTGCACTTGCAGGGCAGTCAGTGGAACCACTGAGCTAAATCCCTGGCCCCAAGTTTCTAATCTTAAAATAATAAAATTAGTCCAACATGAACCAGGGATCTTCTTATTTATCATCCTAGGAAATTTCAAACTTCTAAAAGCAAAATGAAGAGATGCAAGTTCAGAGTATCTTTTACTCAGGTCCTTTACATCTTTTACAGTAAGGTTTACACAAATCCCATTTGTTAGCAAGCAGAAATTACACACATAGATTACTTTATATTTACTGTTACTTACTTTGAAAATATAGACATAACTAGGACCATCAAAATATAAATTTTATTATGTAAGAAATATGAATAATCTATTCAAAAACAAACTAAAATATTTTTTATTTTTAAAAATCTATGTACTTAGTTTCTGACGATTAAACAGAATGGTTAGGAAAAAGTAAATTTAACATTTATTGATTACTTTCCTATGTTAGTTACTTTAACAGACAGAATAATTTAATCTGCACATCAATTTACAACATTTAATTTTTAATTTTATAGATAAAGATTATCTTCAAAAGATAATAGATGTTAGATAATAGGCAGAGAGGTTAATTAAAACATAGTTAATAAGTAGTAATAAATTTGCTGGACTTAAAAGCCTAAGTCTTTCTATAATTATTCCATGCCTCTATAGAAAATAGGGATACTACTACTTACCTTGTAGAAGACTGTTGTAAATGGAACATAAAATAATGTGGCAACAAAGAACACAAAAATATACTTCCAACAATGTGACTTTCTTACAAAGATTGAGAGGCAAGAGAAAAGACGGTTCAAAAAAAGTCAAAGAAACAAAAATTTGCTACTAAAAAGACTTGGCTGTTGGTACTGCTATGTTAGATCATTACTGACACCCAGTGGCCTGATTTCGACAGCTAAAATAAAATCAGAAAAGAACTAAGGGGAGGACCTAAGAGCTACAATTAAAATAGAAATAACCATCAATTTATTTTCAATAAATATTGTGCTCTGAATTATTATGAGTGACAGTAAAGTTTCCATCCCATGTTACATCTTCATTTGTGAGTAAAGATAAGTACTTGTGAAATAAGAAATCAGGGATGCTTTTGTTATCTTCTCCAGAATTTTCCTCTGCGGTCCATTAGTTGCTAGTGGGAATCCATCCTATAACTACAACTTTCCAATGGACTATAAGTGACTACATCTTTCCAATAGTCTAAGAAGCTAAGCTGGTAGGTTCACAGAAAAATCCTACTGGTTCTTCTCAGAACCACTGGGATTCTCAATTAAATTTTACTTAATAATAGAATGTGACTAGAATGTTCTTTGCAGTTTGATGGTAAATGTCATGACTGCAAAATACAAAAGACAGAAATACAATGGTCTTGATAGTTAACCAGTAGACCACATTGTGTAGTTTTATACAAATGTTTATGAAATGTATCTTTAGTACAGGCAGACAGGCAGGCAGGCTACTCCTAGATAACCCACAATACATGTTCTATGTATTCCTACTGTTATTTCCAAAATGCATATGAGAAAAAACTCACAATACTAGGCATTAAAATGATAGTATAGAAAAAATTTCAATTTCTAGCCAGATTACAGTCAGAATTTTTGTCTTACTATTTACCCTTGTCCAGGGTAGGAAAATTTATCAAACAGAACTGCAAATACACAAAAAATAATTTAAGATACTAAATATGTATGTTAACATCATTTTCAAAGGGGAAGGGGATCAAGAGATGGAGGGAGAGGGCAGGAAAGGAGGGAAAGGGGATGAAAAAGGAATTAAGACAGATGTGTTATGTACATGTACCAGCTCCACACAAAGAGTGAAAACATGTTCTGTAAACATGTAAAAAAATACAGAAGAAAAGGGATCAAGAGATGGATAGAGTGGGGATGGAAGGAAAGGAAAGAGGATGAAAAAAGAAACTAAGATATATTATTTACAAGTATCAATTCCCCAGAAGGAATGTAAATGTTATGTACTATGTACATGTACTAAAGAAAATGACCTGAAAAAAGTTGCATACTGTATATGTGTTATGTATAAGAAAAGCTACATATTCAGCACTGAACAGTATGATTCTTTTTTTTTTTTTTTTTGGTTCTGGGGATCAAACTCAGGTCCTTGCACTTGCACAGCAGGCGGTGAAACCACTGAGCTAAATCCCTGGCCCAACAGTATGATTCTTAAAAGATACAAGTCATTGTACATGCCATTCAGATTCAATTTTAGTTATGGATAGTAAGGCCTAACATTCATCCTAAAATTCAAATGTTTGTCAATTACTACATCAGATAGAAATTTGGTGGCATAAATTAAAATTATTTTCTAGGTTTATCTTATGTATTGATTGAAAAGTGCAAGCATTCTATCTAAATAAAATCTTTAGGAAAAGTTGATAAAGTAATAGAACCAGATATTAGGTACTTACTGTATTGTTTTTTCTGACAGGAGAAATAGATGGAAACAAGGAAAAAAAAAGCAATGATATAATAAAAGTAAAATATATGAAGGAAGTAATACGGAGAAGAAACAACGGCCAAAGAAACACAATACTTTGTGATGTACCTTGAAGCCAGTCTACACCTTCTTGCAATCCTTCTCCTTTTATGGCATCACTAGCACTGAAATACAATCCATAAAAAACAAATTCATTTTATTATATCCAACTGTATGGATAAGGAATTACAGTTTTGCCATATAAAAATTAATATATTTTAGTAACATATATTTGAGCAAAATTGATTAAGCTTTGAAACTGAATATATTTTTATAATATGTATAGACAGTTTTAAAAGTATATCACTAAAATTATTACTCTGGAATAGAACTTATAATACATATATTTCGTATTATTTTTCCAGTGTTCGAAAAGTCTTACAGAATCACTATCCTACTTCATCCACTCTTGAAAGTTCAATAATATGTATTTATTAGAAATGCTTTACTTTGTGGGCTGGAATGTGGCTCAGTGGTAGAGCACTTGTACACCATGTGCAAGGCCCTGGGGTTCAATCCCCTGCACTTGAAAGGAAGTGAGAAAGAAAGTAAGAAAGTAAGAAAGCAAGCAAGCAAGCAAGAAAGAAAGAAAGGGAGGAAAAGAGAGAGGAGGGAGGGAAAAAGGAAGCAAGATAGAAACAAAGAGGGAGGAAGAGAAAGAATGAAAGACAGATGTTTGATTTATTGACTTAGGTTAGAATATAGTCATAGAATAAGTGACTTCTTTATTTGAAGTAGAATTTTATATCTATAGGGTATAATCCCATACTTATAACTTTGGTAAGCTGGTAGAATAAAATGAGAACCCAGTAGATGCCAGACATAGTTATATTAATTATTATGTTTATTATAGAAACTTGGGTAAGCTATTCAGCTCCTTTGTCTTGGTTATTGTAAGAACTAGGTATTTAAAATATGCATATAAAACACCCAAACCAGGATACTTTTATTGTCTTTCATTCTTAAGAAAGTAAACAAATATTTACTGTGCTACTTTACATATACTCATAACTAAGTTACATAAATTAAAACAGACCATTTTTAGATATCAGATAATCTTTCTGAAAAATCCAGACCAATACTTTCTCATAACATGTCGCTGATCCAATCATTTCCTTGCAACATGATTGTTTATTAGTAATTAATAAAGAATTGTTTATTAGTAATTAACATATAATTAGTTTTCCAGAATGATTAGTTCCTTTTAATACTTAAGCATAATGTTAAAATGTTGTACCTAAAAGAATCAATTTAATTTTAATCAAAAGAAATTACTTTCAGGAAATTATTTATTGGACTACAAATATGGCTTACCATGGACGTATTTTAAAATAGGAAGACAGAAATAAACAGCATTAGATATACAAAACAAATTACTGATTACATATAGTAATAGCAAAACATCAGTGACTCAAATACTTACATCAAGAAAGGGCAAGGTACTGATTTTATCAAACACAAACAGTCCCAAACAATGTAATGAAGAAATCTTTTCCCACTGATAGAGGTGTCACTATCCTAAAACTCTTGCATTTTTCCCTAACAGGTTCCAAATACTTCAATTCAATCTTTCTTCTTTTCTCTCAAATAAATCAAAAAATTTATAACTAGAGCAAAAGCCAAAGCCTTTACCATGTCCTATAATGATCTATATTCTTCAGCTTCTAGTTATTTCTCAGTGGTCTTTTCTGATATTTCTCCCTAGATAGCTCCTTTCCAGACATCCTGGACTTCGTGCTGTTCCTGAAACACACCGGATACCTTCTTATCCAAGAAAAGTGTTTTCTTCCTGGCCTCCCAATCTGGACAGCTATTTATTCAAACTTTCACATTAGTTGCTTTCTGATGTCAATTAGGTCTCAGAGTGGAAGCATTTTTCAATATTCTTTCTCTTATCCTATTTATTTTTCTTCATCTTCCCAGCTGACATTTTATACATTTATTTACTTACTATTTGTTTCTCCAATAAATAAATAACACACACATACATGCGCACACACACACACACACACACACACACACACACACCATACTAGGGATTAAGTGAAAAAACACACAGGAAAAACAGTAACACAATTAGGCCCTAAAAATCAGAGTTGACTATAAATTTAATATAATGGGTTAAAAGAAACCACAAAAGTTTTCCTTTAATTCTCCAGATATATCTTTTCTATGACTTTTTTCTATTGCCTATAACCTTATATCTAATGAAAGAAAAAAGCAATATTTTACTTATATGTCACTGAGCATTACCTTTATATGTAAAACTGGAAAAGGATAAACATATTCTCAAATTTATACATTTTTTAAAATTGCAAAAATAACTAATATGTGATATACTAATATGCTAATACGTGATATACACATATGCTACTATGTGATAAACTAATTTGAATTTAGAAAAGAGATGTCTACTTTGAATTAAGGAGAAGATAAGTTGTACAGAAAATAGCATTGCATTTCATATGTCCTATTAGCATCAAGATATTACTTTTTATCTAGTAGAGAAATATTTAGATACTATAATTAAACTTATTAAAACTCAACTATTAATAATTTTAAGTAAAAAAAGGGGTTTTTGAAGGGGGATGGAGAAGGGGAAAGGGAGACAAGTATGATAAAGATATGCCATGTAAAGGAATGTAATAATATCAATGCAAATAAGCATTATATGCCATAAACATGAGCTAAGATGAATAATATCATAAAGAATGAAAATGGGGAAAGGAAAATCAAATCAGAAGAGAGGGAGGTGGGAGGGTAGGGGATTTAAAAAAAACAAGCTGTATTATGTAGATGTACCCCATTCCCCAAGATGACTGTAAATTGCATACACTGCAAACATATACTAATAAAAAAAATTTAAAGGATCTTTTACTAATTAAATTCACATTTGTCAATGTTATACTTTCCATCAAAGAATTTGCAATACTTAGTACAATGCAAAAATTAAAAATTATTTTACTTTACAAACAATTTAGTTATGACTTAGGGACACAAAGGTTCTATCTCAACATGTTTCTGTATTCAAAATCCTACCTCTCTTTGCCACTGAAATCCACAAGACTTCAAATTCCAATTCAAGAATCATTTCTAAACACTGACTTTTCCTCTGACTCCAAAGTAAGGAAGGCTTTACTCAAGATACAGTGTTTCATACCTGGACGGAGGTGGAGGAGGGCTATAGTACTGGGAAGTTTCAAGCATTTCCTTAAGCTCTACTCTGTATTATTACTCTTTCAGGACTGAGACCAGCGCATAAAGTTCTTTACTGAGCTCTACTACCTTCTGGCTTTATATTCTATTTCCTCTTGTAGAAGCAGTGGATTTTTTCTGCTTCTGTGTACAACCTTTTCCCTTAGTTACTGTAATTTTATGGAAGGGGAAAACTTCTGATAAAAGGATGATATCTTGCAGTAAGGAGAGATAAGTGGATGGTAGGCAGAAGGGAGCTTACTAACATAGTGGTGGGCACTGAAACACTATTTAATATATAATCTTTAGTTCTCCTTGTTGATACATTTTGGTAGACAAGAAAACTGGAGTTAAATAATTAGTAAGAAACTTTTCCAAATAAACAATGATTAGTAATTTCAGACAGTAGGACTTTAACCTTATTAGTAAGATGAAATAAAATCAGTAGTTTTATTTATTATTTTGGCAAATAATTATTGTGTACCTATTATGTACCAAGTGCTATCACTATTGCAGAGGTTATATAAGTGAAAAAAACCTGCTAAAATTCCACCTCTCAGGGATTAACACTTTGGTATAGGAAGACAGACTGTAAACAAAACAAAACAAACAAACAAAAAGAGGTCACATGGTAACAGAGGCAGTCCTCAAAGAAGTACCATAACAAGCCATAAAATATTTTGAAGAAAGATTCGGACAAGGTGGGGCCCAAGTACAAATGGCCTGACATGGGACTGTGCTTGGCTTATTCCATGTGCACAAGGAAATCAGTGTAACTAAGATGGAGGAATAAGTGGGTTATATAAATTATTCTATTATAAGAGTTCACATTTTTCTATCCCCAAAAGGATTTTTAACATTAATATATTTAGAGATACCTGCAATGCCACAATTCTATAAAACAAGCACCTTAGCTTACATTCTACCATGTTTGCCCTCCTATAATAATGAGGAAAAAAACCCAAAACCCAAAAAACAAACTCCAAAGCTTGGAGAATTTTCAGGAAGATAAATAAAAAGTAAACATAAAACTTTACCAAATATGCCATGGTTTATCTTTGATGTTCTCTAAGCACAGCAATTGAGATACTTTTACAGATGTCACTGCATCTCTAAGATCCATTTTGTTTGCAAAGAATAAGATTGGAATTCGACGATGTTTAATATCTAAAAGAAAAAAATAAGATTATCATCATACTTCCAACTTTTTGGGAGACTTTGCCCCAAATACTTAAAATTGAAATAAAATAAATTGTTTCACAATTACTTCTTTTATATATAAAATTTAAAGACACATACTGTCAAGCATGTATTTGAGCAATAAGAAAAATTATAAAATATTTTTACTTAGTCATTTGTCCTCTAGTTCGAAGCTTTAAGCAAAAGATGAGGTCAGAGAAGGAGGCTCGATAAGTAGTTACGGAGAAGCACCTATACAAAAAGTCAACCATCTTGTTTGTTTTGTTTTTATGCGATCTGAAGAGAAATCAGAGTGTGTTGTTTGTTTTGTTTTTAATGTGAACACGAAAGAGGCAAACTTCAAGTACAAGTATAAGGAGGAGAAATTGGATTCTGATTTTAGTTTTTAGTCACAGATCTAAAAATAAGAAGGTAGATGTTAACAAAATATTTTTGCCCTGAATCATTTTTTGAAGATAATAGAACTAGTTCAAAATTCAGAAGACACAAAATGGTACATACTAACGAATTTCCTTCCTACCTTTGTCACTGGCTAACTGTCTTCCAAAGAAAAGGCAATCCATCATCATCAATGTCTTCACATCATTGTAAACATATATATTTCTAGACAAAACTATTATAATGTCGCTATGCCCACAAACAGCATGTCAATCTCATTATTTTATGCCTTTATTTCTTTACTTAATTTACATCTTGGGTTCCAGATTAGTACATATAGACTATATGGACAAGGCCTTGTTAAAAAAATCAAGGTTCCCATTGTATTTGAAGCAGATCTGGTAGAAACTATTTCAGTGTATTGGTCAACATGCTAACATTTTATGAGAAAGTAGCAAGATCAATTAAAAAAAATTCATACTCAAAAATCCATTCTCAACCTGGACCTAAGACTGATAAGCTTTGAAATGAGGTCACATAAAAGATACAGGAAGTAGATTTTTTTTCAAAAATTCAAATAAACTTGAGATTGTTAAATAAAAACACCAAAGATATATAGTTAAGCAGGCTGAATTGTTAGAAAGCCCTATACTAAATTCTATTCCATTTTTAACAAAGTCAGTTCTTTTCAACTATCATCCTTTTCTAAAAGTCCTAGTATAAAGAGTACTTAAAATCTTTTTGCCATGACTAAAACTAGAAATGAAGAGTTCACAATACTCACTGAAGCACAGTCTGTAGTGAGAGTGGCAGGGGTGTGTGTGTGTGAAAGGAATATCCATCAACTGAACAGTGTATGCATACAGGACAGAATATTAGGCAGCAATAAGAAGAATAATTACATAATTACATGCAATTTGATCTGAAAGTACTTCTATCATATAGTATTGGATGATGCAGAAGTGTAAATATGGTTATATTTTGATATAAAATAATGGTAGAACCCCTACCCCTCAGCTCAACAGTTATTGTTATTATCTGCCCTACATAAGTTTATATGTGTGTGTTAAGGCATATTTTAAAATATGAAGGAAAGAATAGCAACTTGTTAAAACTAGTATGGTGAAAAACATTGACAGGGAGATGACAGTTGGAGATTAAAAACAAAAGATGTTTTAGAAGAATTCCTACAATACACAAGTAAGAAACGCTGTGATAACACACACAAACACATTTAGATACAGATGAAAAAGCACATGAAAAGACAGCGACCAAAATAATTTTTCTTTTTTTTTTTTTGGTAATGGGGATTGAAGATTGAACTCGGGTCCTTGCACTTGTGAGGCAGGCGGTGGAACCACTGAGCTAAATCCCTGGCCCAACCAAAATAATTTTAACAGATCTTGAAATATACAGACTTTTGCTGCCTTCCTTATTTTTCCATATGAAATATTTTCTATTGGCACATATTATTCATATAATCAGGAGAAAAGAAAATTTTTATTTTGGGGGAAATAAATGTTAAAGACAAAAAATTGCAAAAAGCTTCGATATTTAAAAATATATGGTGATAAAGGCAAGTTATTTATTATAAATTTTGCATAATAAAGTTATAAAATTCAAAAATTTTAAATAGGAGAAAGTTATCTGGCATAAAAAATACCTTTTATTGATACCTAAGAAAAAATGTCTCATATAAAAAATTCCCAAGGCAGATATCACAGGCTGAAAGAGATCATATATATACCTGGATGATTCAGAAGAGTATCAAGTTCTTCTTTAGCCACAACCATTCTTAATTTATCACTACTATCAATAACAAAAATAATGGCTTGTCCTTCTCTGTATAATATAAAGATAAAAATTAAAGTTACAGTTAATAATTTTCCACATTAACCATTTGTATTTCCTAACTTATGTTATCTTTTCCCGTCTTATGTCCACTCATGATTAGAAGTTTTAGTGTTCTTAGTTTATATGGCTACATAATATGTTAATAATTACATATTATGTAAACTATTCTTCCATTTTTCATAATTTCATATTTTTAAAGATTATGAGTTTTCTGTTTAACTAGAATAGTTAAAATACTATAACCTTCTTAGACATAATCATTATTCACATTTTGATATAAATTGACACTTTTCTTTGTGTATTCCCAAATATCCACATCTGTATTTAAAATGGAATCCTGTTGCTTTATACTTAAGACTTTCTGATATCTATATAAATTTCCATTTTTTACAGTATTATTTGTATTATTATCATTATTATTTATTTATTTTGGGGGGGGTACTGGAGATCAAACTCGGGACCTTGCGCTTGCGGGGCAGGCGATGGAACCACTGAGCTAAATCCCTGGCCTCTATTTGTATTATTTTTATTGAAACACTAAAGCTAAACAACAGTATTTCTCAAATATTTTACCACAAATCATAATGAAAAACACATTTTACAGAGATAAAGTAGACACACATGTATATCTTATTTATTTGAAATAAAAGTCTGAAATAATACTTACAAATAGCTTTTATTTTTACCCTGTTTGACACTTTGTAAAGGTGTGAGCCAGCCAGCCACTGAACTTTTTTTTTCCATACTATAGATTAACTTAGGTCCTTGCACACGCAGGGCATATATTTTAGCATATTATTTTGCTCTGTATTTCACTGCTAGTGAGGTTCAGTATCTTTTATATATTTACTGAATATCTATGCTTTCTTTATGAATCACTTATCCCAATCATCATATAATCTTAAAGTTCTATTTCAGTAATTAAATGAATAAAAACAAACTCTTTAAATACCATTTTGTCCTATCATTTAACAAAAGATAATTTAGATTAACAGAACCATATATTGCTAGTAGGTACAGAAACCAATAAAATTGGAAATATATCAAGAATGTTCAAAACACTGTGAGCAAGTGATTTTATTTCTGGAATTTATTCTAAGGAAATGTGAATTATGGCTAAGATTTACACAACAACATGCTAACTGGAAAATTATTTATAATCTTCAAAAACTGAGAATAACATTCATTTCCAAAAGCAGAATGATTAAGCAAAATCTGGCAAAGCTATGTAAAAAAAATTAGGCAATCATTAGAGTTATATTCATTGTATGTTTTTTCCGATATATACATATCATAGAAAGTTAAATGAAAAAAATGAGATAAAAGTATACATAGTACATAACTTAGATGGCTCCTTTCTCCTTACTTATGCAAAGTCAACATAAATGTTTCAAAAAAGAAAAAACATACCCAAAAGAAAAATAATGGTAAATTTATGAGTAGTGATATTTACAGGAAACAGCACTTTAATACTATTTTCTAAGCTTTATAAACAGTGTACTCCTTATATATTTGTACTTATTACTTTTAATTTATTTATTTTTGGTACGGGGGATCAAACTTAGGACCTTGCGCTTGCAAGGCAGGCATGGTGCCACTGAGCTAAATCCTCAGCCCTGTACTTATTACTTTTAATAATGTAAAAATGGCACGGAGAAAGTATATAGCTAACATTAAAGAATTATGTAAGTTTGAAAGTAAACTTCCCTTATAATTCTACTCTTCCAAAACAATGCTATTAATAAAAGCTTGGTGCACATTCCACTAACAATTTTCTCTCTATATATATACTAACAACTTATCTATATTAAGGATGGTTCTCTTGACAAAATCAGACATAAAAAATGTTATTATAAACAATGTTAATAGACATTCTTCTATGTATAGCTTTGCCCAATAGTCCTAGTCATAGGATACTTTCTAAAGGTAAAAAGACTATGAACATTTATCCTGATTGTTATGCCACAGTCCGTATGGTCACTTGGATTTCCAACCATTAAGTGTTACTAAAATATGATTATCTAGTTAAGCAATATTCAAAAACATACTTACTTATAATAGTGTTCCCATAGATTTCTGTATCTCCCTTGACCTGACATATCAAACACTGTAAAAGACAAACTAGAGGGAAAAAAAAGGAAGGCAAAGCATAACTCTCATTTAATACTTTAAACTGTTTTTAATCAAATCACCACTGTCATACAATAATCATTGTAGGCCATTTTTTGAAGAAAAACTTCCCCCCAAATAGACTTATTAATACAAATATGATTTTCCAATGAATAACATATAGAAAAAAGATGTTGTCTTTGCAAATGAGCCTATTGGAGTATGTCTGAATGTTCTAAAAAATAAAGCAGAGGTAGTGGTAGAAAAATGTTACTTTTAGTAAGAGTAGAAGGAATGACCAGGTATATCTAATTTTTAGCCACAACTTCTCAGTCACAGGGATAATGTGGATTACCTGGATGACTTGAACTTCTCTATGCTGAATCCGATAGTAGGAACTATATCTTGAGACTGAGCCTTCAAGATAAAAGACAAAGTTTAGAAATTTGCAATTACCAAAGATAATTTTTCCTCAAGTTAAAAAAAAAAAGCAGCCATATTTTCCATTTCTAAAATACACCACTAAGGAGATGATAGGGTTAAGCAAAATTAAAATCTTTGCAATAGGATCACTGTGTGTAAGTTCTTTTTAGAAGTCTAAGGTTTACTAATTATGAAGTTATTACATTATATGAATTTATAGTTATTACATTTATTCATGTTTGGGGCTGCCCTTATGTCTGTATGGTCCCAGCTCCCTAGGAGTTTATTACCTAGAGAAGATAAAAAACAATCAACAGCTTAACAAAATTAAGTGTTACAAGGGAACACAATTTGGAGCAGTGATAAATACAAAGAAATGGTGAATGCCGGCCGGGGATTTAGCTCAGTGGTTTCACCACCTTCTGCACAAGTGCAAAGACCCGAGTTTAATCCCCGGTACCAAAAAAATAAAAGAAATGGTGAATGCAGCTGGGCAGAACAGAACTGGTATGGTGGCATGGGAGAAGGGTGCTTAGGAAAAGCTGATCTGATAAGATGACATCACCCAGGGATGAATAGCAGGAAGGGGAAAAGCTATGACAAGTTCTTGGCAAGGTACATTCCAGTTAGAGGAAGTAGCCAGTGCAATGATTTTCTGCCAGGAAGGAACTTGCCTCCCAGGAAAAGTAAGCCTGTCTATCTACAGAGTATTGATAAGTAAAAAAGAAGTATATGTTGACGTAAGAAAGGTAGCAGCAGCTTAAAGTTCTAGTAAGGAGTTCTGCTTGGAGAATATTGAAAAGCAGCAAGAGTATAGGAAGACACCTGTTGACAAGTCTAAAGGGCAATTTAAATACATTAAATTGACAACCTAACTAATCAAATACCTCCTAGCACTTCCATCATCGAAACTGTCCATCTATTTGAATAAAAATCTATCTAATTTCTGATTCAGATGCTCAGAAATTATAGTATTTTTGATTCTTCCCTTTTTTACATATTATTTATAATCATTCTCTAAGCTTTATTGGTTCTGTTTCAGTATCTTAGTTCTGGCCCTTATTACTTATTACTGAACATTACATTAACCTCCTAATTGCTCTTGATTGGCTATAATACCTGGGACTAGTTATTTAAGCCAAGGTTTTCTTAAATGAGATATATATTATTAAACAATGTCCATAAATAATCAAGTGTTTGCTATTATTATAATCATACTCTCACCAATTTTAGTCAGTGGTATCCCCAGTTTTTTCCAAACTGCTACAAATATAACTTTAAAATAATCCTTCAGTTTACCTTGTCGCTTTTATGTCAGAGTGGGAGAAGTAGAGGGGAAATTTTGCCTCATATCACTATGTGCAATCTGGTAGTCCACTTCTGAGCAATTTAAATTCAAATGGAAAGACAGAGACTGAAAACATGCCAGAGCTTGTTCATCTTAATACTAAGTGAAGAGGGTCTCCCTTGAGAGGCGTTCTGGTTTTGCCTTTCTGAAATTTGTTTATTCAGCTTTCCCTTCTACCCATTCTATGAGTTGCCTTAGTGTTTTTCCAAAAATGTCTTTATTCTTTGTTTGAAAAAATATATTTTCTGTTATTAAGATTTCAGCTTCTTCACAAACTTCCTTTTAACTTCTTGTTCTACTCATAGGGATAAAATTCATCAACTTTTCTTCTCTTCAAAGTTCTAGTGAAAATAATTAGAAAATAGAAACTCTACAAATTAATCAAAAGAAAACATATGTGATCTAGTACTAACAGATTCATATGAAACTGATTTTCCTCTAAAGTATCCCCAAAGATAGTCTCTAACATTTATTTCCTTTTGTTCTATCTAGGAACAAATATATTTGGTTATTTTCGTAATTGGACAAGGAATGATATAAGCAACCAAAGAGTGCAGGAATAGACCATCTGAGACAATCTAGGGAAAGACTTAACAACAGGAATAAAACAAGATTCTTAAGAGAGACCTTATTTGGTTAGTTTCATTTAGTCTGCTAAAAATTATATCCTTGTTGCCATCATTCAAAGTCCCCCGATCAAAACTAAACATAAAAAAACCCATCTGTCAATTTATTAATCTAAAATATATACTTAAGTGTAAAATATTATTCCAGGTTATTTGTGATTCAATGCTTAACAAATGAAGTGGTCTTATAAGCTGAGGAGAAATTTAATAAGTAATTTATCAAATGAATATGCCAAATAATTCAAATTTCTGGGAAGTGGAGGAAAATTAGAATTTTAAAAGATAAGAGTATATCTCTAGAAAATGATAGCTGAAACTAAATTCCTAAAAATAGTGGTCAGGTTAAAATGTTCTCCACCTTTCTCTAGTCATGAGTTTACAAAACATCACCAATCTCAGTATATTAATAATAAACATTAAGATAGATTAATATTAAATACTAGTCTGAGTCCAGGAAATAACTAGTTATCTAGAAATTGATCTTATCTACAAAAAAATTAGACGACTGTTCTATAAAATGAGAGGTATGTTTTGTAAGGCATTTCCTAATAGGCACTACCTAATTGTAGATTTTTATAATTGATGTACTTAATTTATTAAAAATCGTGCTAATGCGAACAAAAGCTCACACTTAACTCTTGTGTTTAAAATAGGAAGGAGTGACAGAGTTCTGGTAGCCCCTATGAAGTTTGATTCAAGTAATTCTTTTTGGTTATCATTATCAAGTTTTAAAAAAAGAAAAAAAGCAAAGCAAAGCAAACTACTCTTCTCTTAGGACCTGGAGGTCAATTATTCTGAGACAAGATAGTTGCATCAAGATTAAGGGTCAGGAAGTGATATCAGAAACTAAGAAAACAATGCTATGTGAGCTTTCTTTATACGGAGCAGAACCCACCTCTAACTTATGCATCATGTGTTGCTTTACAGCCATTTCAATCATACAATATTATCTTCATACACTTACTGCTTAAAATAATCCTGCCTACTATTAACAGGGTAAAACTGTCTAATTATCTCTAGAACTTATAAAATTGATTGACCTTTCCTTTTGTATTGAGCCTCTACCAAAGAGGAAGCTAAAAGGAAGACAAGCAACCTAAAGGAAACTTGGCAAGTTTGTAAAGCTCTTTAGGAAAAAATAAAAACAAGAATAACTAGGTTAACAATCCAGATTTATCTACCTATCTTATATATTACAAATTATAGCTCACTGATAATTATTATTTTAAAGTACTACAAGAAGAACAGCATTTCATAATATGATTATCAAGCAAAGTAAGTCTGCATATTAACTTTCTCTAGTAGCAAAAAATACATGAAGCATCTAACAAAGATACTTACATTGGAAGGCTTCAGTTTGTTAATGATTGTTGTTTTGCCACTGTTATCTAGCCCAAGGCACAAAACATGAACCTCCTTTTTCCTCAGGCCAAGCAAGCCTGAAAGTCTGTCTAGCAATCCCATAATGAGATTCAAATATTTACAAACCAACTGCAGGAAAAAAAAGATGTATTATCCAAAGGCATCTTAAGTATGGAAAATATTGGTATGTGCACAAAAATTTAAAAATTTAAAGACACACAATGATACTCTTAAAAACCATGTCAGTGTTGCTCTGCACTTAGTAAACAGCATAAGCTGATTATCAGAAAGAAGCCTTAACTGAAATGCATATTGGCAGCTTATGACCCCTGGCTACACAGAACAATGCCCTTGAAATAAATCCATTTCTCACTTTATTTATAATGTTTAAGAAAAAAATGTGGACAGCCTCAGTATCATGTGGAGTCTGTCAACTGTAGTACTTCAAATATTTATGAAGTAGACAGCAACCTTTCTATGAGATTTGGAATAATATACAAGCAATGGGGTTCTTGTAGAATCTGATGCTGCAGATCAGAAAGAAGGCAGACAAGAGAAGCAGGGAAAAACTGAGATTTTAGTTACCTAAATCTTTATCTGAAGTCAGATCATTGTCATATTTTTCCATAATTTGAAGTTATGAAAAAAAACCCACTGTTTTTGTTTGCTTGCTTGGTTACGTCCAGTTTGGGTAGGGCTTTCTATCTGGAGAAGTAAAGAATCTTGATATATTTCATCCTTATTTCCCCCTATCTCTTACATATATCTCGGTAAATTACCATAAATACATCTGGGAATAATGAATACACACATGGACAACTGCATTAATCTTCACTAGATATCTATTTTCTTAACTGTAACTTATGTGAAACATCTGCTATTTTTAAAAAGATATAATACTAGTATGGAATCAGAAAGTTAATACCAATTTTAGATTATAATTAAGTTTTCACAAATACTGTAAAAGTCACTTTCTTAACCTGTTCCCATTACTTGCTCAATTGTGTCTATTTCTAGGGAGAAAAAAAATCTGTATTTTGAAGTCAACTAAAAATGCTATGTTGTAACTTTATAGCTATTCATATCCATCTATAGTACTATTAAATTTGTATTTCAGGTCTCCAAATCAAACTTTTTAAAGAAGCTTGCTTGGCTCCATCATCTCCCTCCCCCTAAATAGTACTACATGATAAGATAAGGAAAATATTTCTTCTGCCAACCATCAAGTGGTATAGGCACTGCTAAAATACAACTGTGTACCAAATATTTCTCATTACTTTCTGAATCTTTAAGAGTTCTCTAAATATTAATCTCACTTAATTGATTTATTATCATATTCATCCAAGGTTCCATAAATGTATCATTTGATACCTCCTTTTATATTTTTTATTCTATACCATCCCAGACAAAGCTAGACCTTGAAGGATATAAGACTATACCAACTCAACCTAGAGGAGGCTTTCAAGAAAACTGCATCTCAATAAAGCCTGTCAACTAACCTTTTGCTAAGGCTCCTCAGGATATCATTGTGGAAATAAGTTTCAAAACTGAATTTCAGTGAAAAGCAGGAAAGAGAGGGTGTTGTGCCTCACTAGTGGGTGGGGCCTATAATATAGCCATCTTGCTCTTATCCAGGGGATGGGCTTGACTTCAGGTACTTGGATTTATGCCAAATGAATCAATATTTCTCTTCATAATAAAAATTAAAACCCCACTCAAAACATTTCTTTGAATTTCAGCTTAAGGACTGATTTTGGATGCTCTATTTTAAATTAATCTTGTAATACGAAATAATTCACACAGACCATTTTAATTCAAAGTATATTTTTATTACTTGATAAAAAATAAGTACTTCCTGTTTTTCATCTTCCAGAGTATTCTGAATATATTTTAAGAAGTGTAACTACTTCTCACATGTTCTTCTTTTGGGCATCTATTATAAAGCACTGATTGCTAAAAGGGTGGTGCTTGAATATTCATTTTTCATATTATCTTTTATTTTGTCTTTCCATCCTTTTTCCATGGATTGTTAAACACATTATTGAACTATTTTTGGATAAACAATTTAAAATAGTTTTTCTAAAGGATATTATCATATTAATGGAAATTGCTTTATAAGGAACTACAATGTAGCCTATATACATTTCAAGTTTTAGTAATCATAATTTTCCTTCTGTAAGTTCTTGTATGCATGAATGAAGGAAATAAAAAATAATTCAAGCTACTCACATTTATTTACCATGTTCTAACATCAGAACGGGACACAGAAATTTTTCTGTAGCTTCCTACTCTCATGGTCATGATTTTCAACCCTAGTTGCATTCTGGAATCAACTGTTGAAATCAGAATTTCTGACAACAGGACCAGAGTATTTGTAGGAAATTCATAGTTCAGGGTATTATCAGTTTTAAAACTTACACACTGCTTCTGATACACAGTCCCCATTAAGAACTACTAGCTTACAGAATAAAGTCCATGCATTTTTTTTCAACAAGAGAAAAGCATAATAAATTTATTTCAGTTTTAAAGACATAGGAACCTTCAGAAATAACGACCTGTTCTGTGAAACTTCTCTATTTTAATGCATAGATTTGATGAAAAATGGACAGATTGTAGACATGTGACTGGACAAAAGGGTATGAACTAATGGTAAGACTGAGAGGGGAACCCAACAAAGCCTGTCTGTTCAGAATCTTCTTGATCTCTCTGTGAGCATTGCTTTTTCTTATCTATGGAGCAGGACCTCTCAGAATGAGAACCTTAAAGGGAGAAAAGGCAGAGCAACCTTTCTAGGGTTTATGTTTGCTTTGGGAGAGAGGGGTTTGGTTTCTATGACCTGTCTTGGAAAAGAGGAATTCTGGTTTCTATAACTCTTTCCAGGGGAGAAAAACAGGCAGGAGAGAGAAGGGTAGAAGATCATAGAGAATCTGCTTTAGAGGCCCTTTCAATGTCTTCAATTCCAGGAACTCAACATGCCAAGATGCCACACTGGGACCCAACACTATCTTGGTTATATCTATACTTCCAGTCTTTCACTCAGAGTACATATTTCAAAAATATTTGTAATATATACACTCGAACAGAAAAACTCCATAGATCACACTCGGAAAGCTGATCCTTTAATAAACTCAATTGTCAATTGTAAATATCTTTACTTATTTACTTAGAAATATATTTCCAGAGGTAGAATTATTGGATCAAAATGTAATATTATTTAAAGTTTTGATAGATACTGTGGCACTGTCTTTCAGAAACTTCTACAAACACTTACCAACAGTAGGTGAGACTTTCAATTCTTTTGTTTTCTTACCAACACTGGGTATCGTTAAATTTTTCAATATTTGCCGATCTGAAAAGTAAAACATGGCATTGTAGTATTACTTTAATGTGCATTTATTTCACTACTATATAGTTGAACACTTCAGAATTCCATTAACATTTCTTCTTTTATAAATTATCTGCTATATTTCAGTGCCTATTTTCTTATTAGGTTCCTTCAACTATTGCTATCTGAAAGACCTTTCCATGTCATATTATTGCAAATAGTTTTAATCAATTAAAATTATATTTTACTCTTATTTATGTTGTTTTGTGCCATACAGAAGTTTTAAAATTTATCTAATGATATTTACAAAATTTCAGTTTTTTTCTTCAGTGTTAGGCTTGAAAAAAGTTTTCCTCCTCACTATTTTAAACCTGTTAGCCAATATTTTGTTTTTTGTCTTTTGAAAGTTTCAGTTTTTATACTTTAAATTTTTAATTGCCTGAAATTTATATGGTAAGAATTTTTTTCTGGTATCACTTTTCTTCCTACCATCAGCCCCCTTACTAGTTAATTTTTTCTCAACTTTTTTTGGGTCTGTTAGTTAATTCTCTATCACAATATGTTCCTAATAGTATTCTTTGGAAGATGATCTTAAGAATTATCTTCAGGGGCTGGGGATTTAGCTCAGTGGTTCGGGCGCCTGCCTTGCAAGTGCAAGGTCCCTAGTTCAATCCCCATTACCCCCCTCCCCTCCGCCACAAAAGAATTATCTTCAGAAGGATTTCAAGGTCATGCAAGTTTGGGAAATTTGGGATTCTATAAATATGAACAGGTTTCTATAGAGTAATACTCCTGAGACTCTTTTTTTTTTTTTTTTTGTTAAATTCTTTTATTGGTACATTTTAGGTATACAACACAATTACATTTCTCATTGGGAATTGTACCTTTATATAACGCATCTTGGTTCTTATTTTTTCCCCATTCCTAGCCCACCCTTCCCTATTTACAAAGACTTTATTTCCCCATTCCTAGCCCTCCCTTCACCCCCTCCACCCTTCCCTATTTACAAAGACTTTATTTCCATTTTTTCCATTTCTCATCATTTTTCCTTTCCCTTCTTTCCTTTCCCCTGACCCTTCCACTACCCCTACGCCTTTGGACCTTTTCTTCCTATTTTGCATTATCGATTATTCATTCTAATCATTGGTACATTTGAGGTATACAATATAATGACATTCATCATTGGAAATTTGCACCTTTACATAATCTCTCTTGGTTCTTATTTTCCACTCTTGCCCAGCCCTCTCTTCAACCTCTCCATTCCTCCCTATTTACAAAGATTTTGTCCTATTTTTCCATTTTCTCATATTAATCCCATTCCCTTCTATCCTTTCCCCTAGCCCTCCCACTTCCTTCCCCTTTGCCACTTTTCTTCCTATTTCACATTACCTATTATACATTTTAGTCCTTATTTACACTTTCAGTTTCTCACACCAGAGAAACTATTTGGAATTTATTCATGTGTGTCCTATTTATTTCACTTAAGAGTATTGCCTCAATGTGCATCCACTTAGCTATAAACATCTCTAATTTCTCATTTTTCATGGTTGAGTAGTACTCCATTTTATAAAAAAACCACATTTTCTTTATCCAGTCTCCAGTTGATGGGCATTTGTGCTGTTTCCAAGTTTTAGCTATTACAAACTGTGCTGCTATGAACATGGGCGCACATATATCACTGTGGTATGATTCTTTTAATTCTTTGGGGAAGATCCCCAGCAGTGGAATAGTGGGGTCAAATGGGACTTCCAGTCCTAGTTCTCTGAGGTATCTCCATACTGATTTCCACAGTGGTTGTACCAATCTACACTCCCACCAGCAGTGGAGCAGGGTTCCTCTTTCCCCACAGCCCCACCAGCGTTTGTTATTGGTTGATTTCATGATAGCAGCCATTCTTTCTGGAGTGAGATGGAATCTCAGCGTTGTTTTCATTTGCATCTCTCGAATGATCAGTGATGTTGAAATTTTTTCATGTATTTATTTGTTATTTCTACTTCTTTGTCTGAGAAATGTCTGTTCATTTCAGATGCCCATTTTTGGATTGGGTCAGGCTCTTAAATATGCTAAAATGCATTGCAAATCTATAGGAGATGCACTAAGATAGTAGTAATTTTAGATGAGTATTTATGGAAACCTTTTTGGGAAGTTTTTTAACGGCAAATAACTTAGGCAATCAGATCTACTCTTTTATTGATCGATCTATCTCTAGACCAGTGCTACACTCTTTTAATTCATGTAAAATTATAATGTATTTTATCATTTGAAAATGTAACGTCCTCTCATTAGTGTTTTTTTCAAAATATGAATGATTTATTAAACAGTTTGCAAACTTTTTACAGAAGATTTTACTTAGTTTTAAGAAACAAAGAAAGTAGTCTAGAAACCTGTACAATTACTATTTATCAATAAATTATTTTTTTTAACTAAGGGAAAATATGCATGAAAATGGTTGTATTTCTGGAAAAATACAAGGAGAGCTCTTGTCTGAGTTTTTTTTCTTTCTCTTCTTTCCATTTCTTTCAGTTTAAATTTAGAGAAGGCAAGATCTTGGACAAGAGTAAGGTTTTCCAAAGGGTAATTACAAATGCTCTGAGATTGGTCCAGATAATTTACATTAAAAACAAACAAACAAACAAAACACCCCTGAGGTTGAGAGAAACTAACAAATCAATAAGAAATGAGAACAGTGGATAATTTGATAATCACAATTCTGAACACTGAAGTAGTAAATGAGATTCAGAGTTGAACAAGCAGTTAATAAAGGCAGCATATGTTACAAAATATACTTAGCAAATTTTGATGTTCCAAGTTGTTTTACTTCAAAACTGTAGTTAAATTTAAATTTTAAAAGAAAATTATAATCTTGGTTTGTGAAAAAGGTACAAAGTTCATACTAAGACTAGATAGCATAAGCTAGTTAAGTAGAGCACCACTACTGAATGGCTTAAGAAAATATGCCTTCAGCTTAAAATCCACCTTTATGTATTTATGACACCGGCAGAATTAAGATACCTGAGGTAAATTTTCTATAGTGCACAATTTCTGTACTTGAATCAAGATTACTTTGGTTTGAGTATTAACCCTGCGACTAGTTGTGTGACTTTATGAGCTGACTGTGTTCTTCAATGACTGGTCTTGCATAGATATTAAGTTGTTCACAATCTCAACCCAATCTACCTTTCCAGTTGCTCATTTACACACCAGCCAAATTTTCCAGGCTGCTCTCTGAGAACCAGCTTCCCACATGTTGCCAGAAAAGCCCAGAAGAATTAGGATATTATCTAGAGCAATAAGGTAGAAAGGTAAACTGCACACAGAGATGGGAACAGTAAAAGAACACCCATGAAGGACATTTTGTAAACTTTAAACAAGTCTGTGGAGTGAAGGGTTGCACTCTCTTACTACCTCACGTAAACATTATTCAACATTCAGTTTTTGATAATGAAATTTCAATTTCAGAGCTTTCCATACTTTACATAAAAAGGCCCAAACCGGGCACTGTTAAAATCAAACAACCAACCAAGCAACATTCACTCACAACAGTTTGATGCATATTTTTGGGTCCCTGGTACTCACCACAAAAATTTAATTTTCTTTTTCCACCTTTCAAACATTAGAAACTACTCGCGTGGAGTTTAAAACGTGGGAAATATAAAAAGGAATTCTAAAACTGCCAGGGAGAAGGTGACCTCTGGCCATAAAACTCGAGGAAATAGGGTTGCACATGAACTTTGAGGCCAGTACGGAGGGCCCAGGAGTTGGTAAGGAACCGGAATGAATGCACTTTCTCTTACCCGCCTGTGGGATGGGAATGTGGTGCCTCAGACTTCTCTACGCCTCCATAGGAAAGATTCCTTGTCCGGCGCAGAGCCCCCTCTACAAGTTAGGGGACCTGGCAGCTTCTGTCTCAGCCGGAGCATCAGTTGCAGAGCAGGCGCCTAGGCGCGCGGTGTTCCCTTGGGAACAGGAGCTTCTTCCGGTCCTGAAGCCACACCTCTTCGGGAAGCTTGGCGATTCAGCCGGTTGTGCTTTTGTTTCTGGGGTTGCAAGGCTCTGGAAAAAAGCCAAGGACACTCCAAGGAACTCTATTAAGAAAAATGTGAGCACAGGTGACAAGATGAGCTGTCGGTTATTCTGCGAGGATCTGCGCAGTCATCCGTGGAGCATGATGGGAGTTGTAGGCACAGCCTGCTGGGTAGCATCAGGCGCCTGGCTTCGCTGTGAGATGGTCTGTCTGCGCCGGTCTTCCCGGGTTCTTAGGCCTCCTAGAGGACGGCGCTGTGTGTGGAGCCAAGAATGCCGAATCCTTGCGTAGTTGTTGGACACTGGCGCAGTGTAGTGACGACTGCAAGACATAGCGGTGCCTACTGGGGCAAGGCTTGCGTCGCCGTTGCCCTACTGCACAATGCGCAGTACCCCAGCTCTGCTAGGCGTCAGCCCGAGTCCTGGAGAAGGAAAACTGTTAACATAGAGAGGGGCGAGAAACTGGTCTAGAAAGTTGTACAATTACTATCTGTCGATAAATTTTTTTTAACTAAGCAAAATACAGTAAAAGCCAAAGATATTATTTGGCCAAACAAGTGTGCTTGTGACTTTAGTTCTCTGATGTTTGGTCATCCTGAAAGATTTCCACATTTCCGGCGTAATCTCTTGTGATTGATTATTGTCCCCAGAATCGAGTCGACTGGTGGTCAGGATAGGCATTAATAGTCAATAAAATTAGCCATGCCCTTAAATTGCCCTCTGATTTTATAGTAGTTACAAATGATCCTTAAATTGAAAATATTTAAGCTTTCCCCCACATTTTACTTTTACTGTTCCAATGGCCAGACTATAAATGCATCATTTGAAAGATCTAGCATTTCTTTGTCAACCTATTTGTCCAGAAGCACCAACCTTACCTCTCAATGAATTGCTTCTATGATTATAAACCAACCTTACCTCTCAATGAATTGCTTCTATGATTATAAACCAACCTTACCTCTCAATGAATTGCTTCTATGATTGTAAACGTTCCTTAAAGACGTTTCATTTTTTTTGTTACCTATGAGTATAAACCTATTTTCCCTTTCCAGCTAAGTAGTTTTATGTTTACTTTCTGACTTGTTCTTTGGCCCATTAATTAATTTGGTTTATTAAATAGACTAGGAGCGTAAAAAAAAAACGAGAGAGAATTTTGTCAAAGTGACGATGAGAATGAGGGTTGTGCATGTATAATTCCGAGGTGTTTGGTTGCATTTCTAAATTTCCAAGTGCAGTTATTTTTGCAGTGAAAAAAAGTATGTTTCTGGGCCATAACTGTTTGAAGGCAAAAACAAAACGAAAACCGCCAGTTGTTGCTTACCCAAATTATTGACATTTAAATATCTTCTATAAATGGAGAATGGAAATACACTGTTCTTTACTGTGTGGTCAGTTAACCCCTCTCTTTGCTTCAGCTTCCTCACTTTCAGAAAGATACTTTTTCATCTAGTGTTTTTCAAGATTAAAGAGATAATAAATGTAAATGATTAGCATATAGTAGGTGTTAAGAGATAAGCAAAGATCTTACGTTCCAGAAACCTGTCTTGGACAGACTTAATTTTTCCTATTTCCTATATTTTTTTCCCTAGGTTGAGTTCATTTACTTTAACCTAGTACAAAACATTTGTTGAAAACGGGGTTATAATAAGTGGCTCCTGCATCTGATTTAGGCATATAGATAATTCTTTGACAATAACAACAAAAAAGCTAAGCAAATAGTTATTTTATGTAAGTGTAATTGATGTGATGGCTTATTATTATTAGAGATGAAATAGTTGTCATGAAATCTACAATCTACTCAATAATCTAGAAAATACCAATTGTGAAAATATCCACCAAAAAAAGTAAATATTTCATTGGTTTGAATCTACTGTTTTAGTGCTTTGCCAGTTGAAACTGCTCTCAAGAGTAGACTTTGGGCTCAGCATAAAATATTTCCACTTTAGTTTGATTCCATTTTATTACAAGAATAATAAGCTTTCAAAATGGTATGTGATTTTTTTTTAAAGCTACTTAAGATACATGTCAGAGAAAATTTTAAGTACTTTCTAACTAGTTTTAATTTCATACTGGCTTTTGGAACTGTAGCAGGAAAGCGTGAGATACATTGAATGCTGTACCATTCTGATTAATTCAAGATCTCTTAATATATTTTGTTATTGGCAACTTTTATAAGACTATAAAAAATTCCTGATTTATAATTTATGAAAAGTTTTTGAATGAACAGTGATGCTTGTGTTGGAAATTAAATATTGGGTATCACATCTTTTTATCATCTGTAATTTGTGTATAGTAGTCCCTTTACTCTGAACAATTTATTTGAATATTTTGCTAATATAAAATCGCTACAAAAATCTGTACCACTTATTTATAGTGATTTATGTGAACTTATGTCTACTTCTTAATGTCATTAATTATTTGAAAAATTACAACTATTATTTTACATCCAGAATTACTAAAGTTCTAAAAAGGATCTAGATTTAATAGACTAAACATAAACTACAATAAATATGTATCAATGCAAGAGTCAGATTCAACCACCAGAACTGTAACTTTTATTTACTAATAGATATTGTAATAAACAGGCTTACTCCATCTGTAAGACCCTGATAACGCCTGTTAGGAAATCATAGAAAAATAAAATACAATAATTAGTAAATTGTACTTTGTACAAAAATCTTATGTTGCTCAGCAGGTAGTTTTGCTAAACACCATATTCTTTCAGCAAATAGATGACATATGTAATGCAATTCACCACAAACAATCTCTGAGCATTCTATAACACTATTAAGTTGTAAGCATGCCAGCACATGAAAATTTACATGGAACATCATAATATTATAGTAGATTTTTATAAGATGAAAACAACTCTACTTTTAAATAAACCTGAATTACTTCACTGCTAGAGTAAAGTACATAATAGGTAGATTGCAGTTCAGTGAATATCCTTTTACTGTGTTAATCTCTCTACCATACTGTGATTGCAACCAGAAAAGAGAAAACAGGCTATGTAAGGAACCTGAGTGGAAAGTATGTATTGAATCTCTAAATGGTGATATACCAAATCAAAAAAAAATAACGGGGTGCTGCACTTCCTTATTCTCACAGATGTTTCTACCACCTTTAGTAAGAGTAGATGGATATAGTGCTAAATCCTTAACTAATGATAAATAAGTTCATGTCAAATTACAAAGACATAATTTAAAAAATAATGTAGAGAGAAGAAATATTTTAGCTATTTTTATTAATTAAATATAGCTCTATGAGGGATTAAATTTCTCAACCTAGTCAAATCTTATCCAGACATTTTATAGAAATATGCTATTTAGTATTAAACTTTTTATATCTTATTTTGTGTGCACAACTGTTGAAATTATCTTAAATTCAAAATAGCCATTTAAAATTTGATATGGCCATTTAAATATAGTGTTTAATTAAATACACACATGTATACATATATCTTTATGTTTTGGGCTCTGATAGAAGAGCAAAATAATGGAGAACAAACTTATTCCATAATTCACAATCTAATTTCACATAAAGTCTGAAGAATAAATATATATTTTAAATTCCTGCATATTGAATTACATACAGCATATCCAGAAATAATTCAGCAAGCACTATTAAAAGATAATATCTTTCCTATTAGTGTAGAGAGGGGCACAAGGAACAATCATCTTGTCCATTTGTTTCTCCTAAATGACAAATGACAGAAGGTCTTGACATTTTCCATACAGGAAAAAAACACACAAAAGTTTTACTAAAAGATTTATGTCTATTTGTCTTTTTAAAAAAATTCAGATGGGAGCTCAATACTCTTTAAAATAATATTTGAGACAGGTTGAATATACATTTCTCAAGCTCAAACTAATTTATTATTCATAGGTTTTGAATGATAACAGAAGAGCCACAAAATGTTTCTGTCATTTACTCTGTAATAAAGATAAATAAATAATAAAATATAAGACGTATCAATGGCATTGAGAGGTCCTTACTTAGTCTCTACCTTAGGAAAGTGAGGACTCTTGTCAGAGTACTTGGACGGCAAAATTTCAGGTCTTCCAATAAGAGACCTTAAAATATTTAATAAAAAGATGCCTTTGAAATATAGTTTTTTCCTATTTTGCATCACACACATGAATATCCATTATATATTATATATGTATATATATACATACACATATATAGTCACTTTCTCACTCTCCAACTACTTATGTATCTCTTCCCCCAACAACTCCCTTCCTACATCTATACTGACTTCTTGGTGAAATCAAACAACTCACATAGTAACATCTTTTTTCTATGATGAATCTATAAATTTATCTGCTTATTACACATTCTGCCTTCCCTATCTTTGGAGTTCTGTGAACATGCTCTTACCAAAAACTACCGTTCCTACATAGGCTCTGAAGCTTAATGCTTCTACCTTCTCCAACCCTTTGCTCTAATCATTTCTCTCATGTATAATCATTTTTCCTTTGCCAAAGCATTTCATTAATATATAATTACCTTTATTCTAAACAAATGAGCAAATTAACAAACTCCATAAAGTTCTCTCGACTCCACATCTTCAGCTCCTATCCTATTTATCTTACTCCTTTTACAACAAAACATACTGAAATACTTGTTTATATATTCTGACTTTGCTTTCCTCTCTTACATTTCTTGTTAATCCATTTCAGTAAGGATTTGACATCACTGTTTCATAGAGATTGTCCTTCTTAAGGTTTTTGAAGAGACTGCTCTTGTCAAAGTTGCCAGATCCTGTGGTCATTTTTTTGTTCTAATTTTGACTTCTTAAAAGCACTTAATCCATTTAACTATTCCAGTAGCCTCATATACTCCAACCTCATTCCTTTTTGCCTCCTCCATTCCCTCATGAATGTATACCACTGTCCTATCTGCTCTTGAACACTCCAAACTCTTGTAGATTAACTGTTTTTTCTGTCCAGAAAGCTCTTACTCTGGATTTTCTCATAGCCATTTCCTTCATGTTTTTCCAGTATCAGTTTAAATGCCATGTCTTCAGAGATTTCCCTTCTTGCCTGATATGAAAGAGTCATAGCCATGCTCTGTAGCATTATTAATTTAATCAGCACAACAATCACTGTCTCTTTGTTTGTCTTTACTACTAGAAAGTCAATTCTGTGAAACAGGAACTTTGCTTCCCTTATCATCATGTATCCTCAGTATTTGTATACGTATGTGGTAGTGTTCAATAAGCATTAGTTGGATGAATGAGTGGATTTACAGACAAATACATTTTTAAACTAAATTAGCATATAAGTATATATACTTATTTTTAAAATTTAAGAATTATAATTTTAGGCTAGTAAAAGACATGTCTTTTGTTGTTATTGTATTTGTTACATAGTATAAAGAGGTTAACATTGATCCTTGGTCAGGTAATTTTTGTTGTTTATATTAAATTATACTTAACTATTGCATTTAATGTAGAGTGGTCAAGG